CAAACTTTCTTTGATATGTACTTAATTAAAAATTATACTTGTTACCGTATCGCATTTTGATCAAGCTTCACTTGATCGATACACATTCGACGTGGATGTGTGATGTTTGTCTTATCTTTTTCGTTTTGTAACGCGCGCGTCGTGCAATTGCTGCGCTCCGTGTGTTCGACTTCGGGGCGAGCCAGCGAGTAAGAGCAAAAGAGAGAGATAAAAATAAACATTGGACACTCAATTAATTACAAAGTATTTTTCCAATATCAGAAATTGATCGAATGCCATCGATCAAATCGAAGAACAAAAGATATAATCTCTAGAGGAAACTCCGTTGAGTTATCGCTGATCGCATTGTTTCCTTTCATAATGCACCGATTTTTCGCACTCATTAAAACATACCTTAGTTGATGCTGGGCTCCAAAAAGCGAAAGAATTTTTCGCATTTCCGTGAAATTCGACAACAACGAAAAGAAAAACAAGAACAAGCACAACAGAATTGGCAGCAGATTTTTGACCTCTATATATCACTTGGCCATATAAATGAAGATGCATGACAGTTAAACGGTCCACAAGCGCTCTCCATTCTCCCCGCCAGTCCATCAATTATATTTAATGTTTGCGCGTAGAAGTTTTTATTATGAAAATGCAACTTAAAACGTTTGATATGTTTTATTGCGTTCTTGTGATGCGAATCCATTAGTAGGCAATTAATTTGCCTGGTTGTTCCTCCGGGCGATCTCATCCTTTTGAACACACGGATGCGATGCATAATTTATGTGATCGTGTGAATGCTCAACCACACGCATACACGCTCACGGTATTCATGAACGAAGTTAGAATGGTCAAGTTCAAAGGAGTTGAAGAAACGCAAAGCAGCACAGAGTGCTCTTGCACATTTCAATTTTGGACAGGTTTTTGTCAGCCGTCGCTCCTCTCGTCGTACCATTTAGCAAATCAATTAAAATAGAGTCATCGCAATGCTTTTAATTTAAATTTTTGCACAATTTAAATTGAATTCGCTGCATACACACACACACACGACGCCCGTATTATTTAAATTCAGCTAAATCAATTTCCATGTTGAATAAATTTCTCTCTCTCTCTCTCTTTCGGTGTTGTGAAGAGAGGAAGACAACGAAAAACAGTGCTGCTAATTGGTATGCGAGAATGGGGCAGGTTGAAACTGGATTCGCATGCATGCGAATCAAAACCCAAGGAAATGATATAATAATTTCTATGTCCAATTACGTAGTGCTCCGTTCCTTGCGATCATAAATAAATTGAGATTATTTTTGCCCCTTTCTGGCACTTTTTCTGCACTGAAACACACACACACACACGATGAACATTAACCAAATTTATTTTATCCACATGCAGCTTAAGTGATCGCCAACGGTGCTGATAATCCGATGTTAGATAAAAATAACCATTTTTCAAAAATTTTGCCGCAAAAATGGGAAATTTATACCAAAATCGCCATGACATCACTATATGTTGTGGATTACATTGTTCAAGGTTTCGATAGGATTAAGCGCACACTTTATGTATACATATCGTTATATTGTAGCGTACTTTATTTGGTATCAAAGACCATAATTTATGGGTTCATTGTTTTGGCGGTGCGTTACCGCGAAACTGGCACTCGCCGAACGTTTAGCCATGTAACATGTAAATATTTTGCTTTTGAACGACTGCATTCTCGAACAATATCGCTTACTGATCATCTCATTCCTAATTGCATCGTATTTATTGGTGTGACTTTGTGTCGATATTTTGAATAATCGACACAAATGCATTGCATCGATTTTTGTGAATGCTGAAGCATGGCAAAAAAAATCGTGCAGATGATACAATGATCAGTGATCACAACCAACGAATAATAATAAGACGTTGAACGCCGTGTATACCTTTTCGGTAGGATATTTTGCACTTTGCTTTCAAACTGTTCGTTAAGTAGGTGCTGTATGCAAATAACCCATCCATTTATCAATTTACTAATTCAATGCAAGATGAAGGTGATCGATACCGATTTGGTTTGGGGTTAAAATGATTCACAAATTAATGTTCGCCGTGAGGCCGACATTACGAACATCAAAACCAATCCACTAAAATCAAATGTAAATTGAAAGATGCACCAAACTGGATTTGCATTTACAATTGCATTGATCGTCCGAAGATTCATTGGTTATTGTGCTCGACAATGAGGCTCACTTTGGAAAAACACAACAACGACAAGTGATAACCTTTTCAAATTGATATTGCGAAGAAACGATTATGCGAAAAAACACCATATCAAAGAATAATTCAAAGTTGATTCAATTCAAGAATTTACCGCTTCTTACAAGCATTCACTTTTTTGTCTGGCTCCAAAATGAGATTTTCAGTTGCAGCGGACAGTGCACAATACAATAACAAGATGACTTCAAAGATTTTGTTTACATTTTTGTTATTAGCTATCTGCCAAGTAAGTGAATTTTAATTGTGAAAAAAGCCAAATTTTGTAAACTACCATATTCCTTCTGCTATACTGCATTGTAATTGTCCAGAATTGAATAGTTAGTTGAAAAATGTCATATTTTAATGTTAATGTTAAATTTTCCAACATCTTGAAATGAAAATAGAATACTCGAAATAACAATTCATGTGTGCGATTTACTATTTTTGGTTGTGGAATGTTTGTATAAACTTATTCAATGCAATTGCAAAGCTATGAATTATGGATGAAAGAGTTTGGCAATCTAGAAAAATTTCTACATCAAGTCAGACAATACACCTCAGAGAAGGTTTGTTCGAAGAAAATTATCATTATTGCATTGCCATTGAAATGTATTCATTAGGAAAACAAAAGCATTAGGACTGGAAAAAGAATAGAAAAGGGTGTTGTTTGATACAAAATTTGTTATCATTTTACTTCAATCTTAAAAATGAAACTCAGAATATATTTCAGTCCAAAATAACACATTGCATTTCAGCGTTAAGTATACAATAATTTATTTTTTCCTATCAAATTCGTTTGGGCTGTTCGAAATTTGTCTTATTTCAAACTGTGAATTCAATAAAACGGCGATAACATGACTACGATGATGGCGAACATGATGTTGATTAAATAATTTTCTTATCTAAAAAAATGGAATTCTGAAACAAAAACTTAAACGATTTCGCAATGAGTGTCTTTTTCGACAATATGAAATTTGTACTTCTTGTCGAGCAAGCCCCAGATAACGACTACATTCTCTGTTATTAAATTAACCGAAGCAATGGAAGCGGCTGCAACGGCACACAACACAAGCCGCAAATAACCGAATCTGTATACTGAGAACGATTTTAACACACCAAACACATTCATATAAATGTAAACGGCACCAATAAATGCGTAGATTGAGTCTATGT